TGTGTTGTGGTATGAAATAAATATAATTTTAAAAATGTGCTAGCAAGAGGACTTACCATCAAGTATTGCAAAATGTTAAGATGTGTGCTTGCAATAAACACGTACATATGCTGTTGTAGCTATATGTACTGTGACACTGTTGACTTTAACTGATATGCAATGTTTCCACATAATGATGAGCAGATAATTTAGGAACTCAGGAATTTTCTGCTCTTTGCTAATAGCACACAGGAAAATAGAAACTTATATGTTGTAGGATGTTAGCTGTTAAGGTTTTGTTTTTCAATACAGATTTTTAATGAAATCTCTAATGAAAATGTATATCTTATTACACATTACTCATTGTTAAATTCTGTGTTTTCACTGATCTCTAGAAGAACGTTTTTTTACTTTAAGAGTCTAGATGCCAAGTATCAGATCACAGACAGGGAAAAAAGCTTCACGTGCATAGAACAGAAATCCTGTGCTCATATATAGGCTATTTTTCTGTACTGGTGGGGGTAGGGGTGGGAAGACTAATGGCCCTATTTCTTGAGTATTTTAATTTCAGTCTATTACAAGGTTATGCAAAGTGTGTTTACAACATCTCTGTAGCTACTGTGACAAGAAAAGCCATGTATTCCAGTTCTCAGGCTAAAAGAAAAATACTCCATGTGGAATAGATATGTCAATGCTATTGTTAGTATTCAGATTAAGAACAGTAAAAATGAAAATCTGCTGCATTTCACTGAAGGAAAGAAAACAAAAGTATCGATAATTATACTGCAGATGAAACTGGCCTTTCAGGCTGGCCCACAGACAATGGACACTATTGTAAAATACTCCATTTTTCATATGTTTGATTATATAATTATCAAGTCCTAATTTGGGAGCTCCAACTTGCAAACTAATTTAAAATGTGATTTACTGAACATTTGTGTCTTATGAAATACTTTACCTCCTCCTTTTTTTGAGGTTATCTATACATATGCCCTGATATGTATATGGAATCATAACAGTGACTTTTTGAGTGACTTGCCGTGATAACTTCAGTTATTTACTGGACTATGATGAGTAGATCAGATAGTAATGCCACGGGTGTCTCCAAGCTTTTTCCTAGCAAGTAGTATTTGATCTTGAAGATGTGCAGTGGTGATGGTATGAAACCATAATCCCCAAAGAGGAAACTGAATAAACAGAAGGAAAGCTGGTACTTGCATGATCTTTGCTTAATGTAGAAGACAAATTTGTCCTCTGAGTATTAAAGATGCATATTGGGCTGGGAATGCTTATAGGCAAAATTAGGGGCTTAAATATTTTGTATACCTGTTGGCCAAAACTGATGTATCATTGTAAATAAAACAAATGAATGTACTTAATGTAGGCCTGAACTCTTGCTCAACTGCTCCTTTGTTGAGCGCATGATGTGTGAGGTTTCGGCTGTCTGCTACTACGGTGTAGCAGTGGAGCAGCATTATTGTATAATCGAGAAAGCATTATAATAATTGCTTGGGGTGAGAGGTCAAAGGCAAGAAAAGGTCTAGAAGAAGCTTTATTGAAGTGGCCTTTTTCTTCTCGTGACTTGATCTTAGAGCTAGATCCTTTTCTGACTTCAAAAGTAAAATGAAGTGCTGCTTGTACTGTTGGCATATATAATTTTGTAAACTTTGATATAAAAAAATGTGTAGTTGCTCTTTGTATAAACCAGCGTTCTTCACAGTGCCATAAGTCAAATTAACAAACTTAAGTCTATGTGTTGTGCAGTAGAAGGTTTTTATTGTACTATGTTTAATAAACTTTTTCAGTACCTGAGAGATGACTGAATTGCAGGTGAGGTCCCTTATGACCTTTCCTATCCCAGGTGATTGCTATAGAAAACTTGAGAGATGGTTCTGATGTTGGAGGTTAGATACAAAATAATTTCAGTGAGAGGGCTATCAAGCTGTTGTTGTATAGTGTCTCTCTCATGTAATTGTGTTCAAAATGGGAAGTTAAGTGTTGTAAACATTAATATTGCTTGATATCAAGATTTGAAGAGGTGGATTTTTTTAATGTCTTTGGCTGTGCATAAATCTAGCAGATAGATTTCCTCTTTTTTTTTCTTCATTTTTTTCAGCGGGAAAGTGATCCTTATCAAAAGGAAGTGCTAGTGATAACTGGAATATCCAGGTCACTGTCAGTTCAAGTATTTCTCATTATTTTAGAGTGCCTTTCTCTAGTTACTGATAGTTAAAAATATACTGCTTATAACTTTCTAACAGGAATTTTTTTGAAAATAAAATAAATAGATGCTTTATTTATTTACTGTGCCAGACCTTTATTTTTAAAACTGCTTCCACACATTCAGATCACTGACAGTATTATCTTTTTTGGAAAGCAGGAATTATGTTGAGATACAGCAATGACACTTTATTCTGTAGAAGTGGGATCTGAAGCACATAAAATGTTGACTTTATGGCCTTGCATTTGATTTTAAAAGATGTACTGTTTTTCTTAACAAAATTATGAAGTCTGCTATCTGCATTTGGCTGAAAGAAGTCTTGATGTCTTCACAGGAGCTGTATTCTGTCACAAAGACTGGTGGGAATTGCAGATGGGACTTCAGAAATTTAAATTTCTAAGAGATATGAATCAATTCTCTTGGAAACAATATAATTACAAGATGAGGGCTAGCTGAAAGACTTGGCATAAGCAGTGGGCTCCAGGTGCACTGGTAACAAGGGAAATACAAACTCTGCCCGGGCTGCATCAGCTTGTGTTTGCAGGACCCTGGGAGAGCATTGTGGGTGTCCCTCTGTCTGCCTTTTCCAGGGCTAGGAAGAATCAGAGAAGAAAGATTAATTTTTTTTTTTTTCTTTTTTTTTCCCTGCTTGCTTGCTTTCCTGATTGCTTTCCTGCTTTGTCTTAAGCAATTGATTAAACAGAAGAGGACATTCAAGCTGTTGCAGTGTAATAGGTAGCTGGAGTTGTTTATCTGGTGATAAACAGTGGGGAGCACATCCCTTCAGGTGAGATGAGTTTGGCAGTTTTAATGTCTGGTGTGGGGAAGGTCAGTCAGTTGATGGCACTGGGACCTATGGAGACAAGGAAGGAGTGAAGACCTGCGTTGTGTAGGATACTGCAGCACAGTTTCCAGAGGAATTCTTATTATGAGTTGTGGCCTTACTTGGTTAAATTTTCTCTTTTAACTCCCTCTGTATCATAGCTAAATAAATTGTACTTGATTCTTCTGGCAACTTTCCTTTAGTTCTATCATAGCCATGAAAATAAAGAGTATGTTTTTGGTTGTTCTAATTCCTTGTAGTGTTTACTTTGAAAATTAGAATAGGTCTGCTTAGCTCCTAGCACATCTGGAAGCTATGTGAACATGAAAGGTGCTGTGGGTGAGACCATTTACTGAACACCTTTTTTATGACCTCTGAAGTGTTATTTTTATATGATTGGGAATTCTCTTTGTTATGCTTGTATTTTGTCTTACTAAAAAACAAGAGTTTTCTTCTTTTCAGGAGAAGAAGCTACCTTAACCTCTCTCTCTGTCTTTTTAGCAAAATCATTAAGAGCCAGCAGCTCTCCCAGTTTGCTCAGTACCTGGTAGAGGTGAAGACGAAAGAGAGAACTGGGCTTTTGTTTGTTCTTTGTGGTGGATAAGTGTTTGAAGTGATGATGTAGACCTGGAGGTACTTGAATAATGCTGGTTTTACTTTTTGGTGTTTGAATAAAATGGCGTGTGGAGGATGCCTTTGTGCAAAAGAAAAGGGGAGCATTTGTAGGTTAAAACTACCCCTGCAAGTGTATTTCCACCATCCTGTTGCTTGCTGCTTTTGATTTGCACCTGTAGATGTAATCATGGTAACTTGAATTGTTCTTGCTGCCCAGTGCCAGCTGTGGGGCACTGGGGGCACAGGGCTTCCATTACCTGTCAGGCAGCCTCTCCTCTGGCAAGGCAGAGACACAAACTCAAGAAACAAAAAAGCTGTAAGACCAAATGTAAATACTTTGAGCTAAGAAGGAGAGATGAAAGAATTGGTGAAAATTGGAGAAAAAAGAGACATGGCATCTGGAAACAGAAAATTAAAGTCTTGGAATCCCTGTTGTTTAATAAGAGGTTGCCAAAAACTCAGCATAACTTCTGAGAAGGTATACTTGGAGATTTTTCCTCTTTGTGGGGTGGGAAATGTAAACATAACTAACCATAAAGAACATGCAGGTGTGCTAGAGATGCATAGGGTAGGTAGCTCTGCAGTGGCGTATGTGGGGATTCAGCCGACCTCATTAGACTGCCTGACGCCACGTGTGTCTATGTATGCGTTCTTTATAAATGTATGGAACTTCATCTATATAGCTGTTGCATGCAAGTTTTGACAAGAGTATCTTATCAGTTCTAGCTCTCTACAGTGTAAGTTAGACACTGTATAAAGCCGCATTTTACTGATGTGGACCGTGCATTTATTGCTCTGTGTGTGATTAAGCACTCTCTAGTGATAGTAGAGTTCCAGCAATGAAATTGCATTTGTCTACTTAATGGAAAATAGAGTCCACTAGCGTTTGCAAACAAATCTTTCTGTGGCATGTAGTCTTCGGTTTGGCTATTATTTTTTTTTAATAGTTGTATTGATGCTCTGTATTAGTTAATAATTTCTTTTTAGCAGTTATATGAAAGCTAAAAATCCTGCAAAAAAAACCCAAACAAGTTTGGGAGGAATAAAAAGAAGTTTGATTCATACATTTTGTAATGCTCACGTAACCCAGAAACAACCCAGGCAAGCTGCTGTAGAGACCAAAGTTAAATTTGCAGCTAATGCCACGTGTCTTGAATTGTATGCAGAACGCACCAAAACTTAACTTAAAACATTAACAGAAAGGAGGTATAAATTTTGATGGCAGTTCCTCATTTGGTGCATTTGGAGGTCTGTCAGTACTCCCGATTAGCTCTGCAAGGCTGTGAATAGTTAATTATTCAGCACAGAGTTCTGAAGTTCAAAACTCTAAGCACTTCCAGCAACAGATCGGTCATGTGAAGTCTCATTACACAGTCGTCTTTTGCAGTGCTGCTCTGGACCTTGTTTGCTCGTCATTGTGAGTGACTTTAAACTTTGTTTTCCCAAGAAAGATGTATGTTTCTAATTGTCATACACTAGATCTTTTGTTTTAATTCTGTAGGACAATTGTAGAAGTTAATTTCTTTGGTTATGCTTAAAGTAAACAAACTTTGGTACAGCTCCAGAATCTGAATTGCAATCGTATTTTTTGAAACTGTGTATTATGTTTGAAATGTATTTTAACTTTCTGTGAAGGAGACTCCATTCAAGCTTTTTAAAAGAATGTTTGTAAGAAATAAAGAGTTCTCATGAGGTAATGCGTCTCCACGGTGTGTTTTGGTTTTGTTTCTAATGGTATGTTTTCCTTGTGAAAGTATCAGTGAATTTGTTATTTGAAAATACGGAAATGTATGGAAAGTTATTTGAATAAAAGGGAATGCTGGACTATATGTTGTAGAACGTGAGAGTTCTGCCTTCAGAATTTACTGTAACATAAATATATTAAGAGATGATGAGAGTTTTATACCATTTTGGATTTCTTTGGGTTTTTTTTTAAGTGAAACAAGTGAAACTTCTTTAGCGATCACTGCATTCAAGAGTACACTGGCTTGTCACTAAGATGGGAAATACTGGTTATACTGCTATTTCATTACTGTATAGAAGTAAATAGACTAGAACTTGTAGGATTTGTTTGAATGATTTTAATAATCAAAAGAAAAATTTGAGGAGGAAAAGTGTGATTATTTCCTCGCCTATCTATCCTGTATATTAAACATACTGTCAGTGCAATTTAGCTTCATATTGCATAGTACATTATTTCTGTTTATACTAAGCCAGTAAATCTGTTTGGAGAATGTATAAATAGGGTCCTTTGCATAACCCAAGGGAGAAAAAAAGTAATTAAATCACTTTTTTTTTTTTAATGTATATTAAAAACCCTTTTGTTTTGGGCTTGGTGTTTATTGGGCTATTTTTTTTTTTTTCATATGACAGGTACCTTAATTTGTTCTATCTTCTGTCACAACTGAGCATATGTTAAAATATTCTTTCATGCCTTCCTTGCACATATCACTTACACAGTCCGAGTGGAAAGAATTAAGTGTGGTTCATTCCTGTTCTGAGACTTGTTAGTTTGCCAGTATGGAATCATATGTATAATTACATACTTGACTTTTAATTTTCATCCATTTATTTCAGAAGAAAATCTAAAGCGCCACCTCCTCCATCTGAAACAAAACCCATTGCTGTTTCTCCATTTGATGACACAGAATCAGCAAACCTCATCATGGAACAGAAAGAGAATGTAATCGATAAAGATATTGAACTATCAGTGGTCCTGCCAGGAGATGTGATCAAGTATACTACAGTTAACGGGAGGTAAGTTACACAGAATGACATTTTGTTTAGTTTTCTTTTCTTGCTCTAGTTTACTTCAGCCTTCAAGGTTTTAATCACTCAGTAAAATACATGAATTTTGTAAGCTGGAACATTGACTGTGTGTCCAAAGAAGGGCAACAAAGCTGGTGAAGGGCCTGGAGCACAAGTCTGATGGGGAGCGGCTGAGGGAGCTGGGGTTGTTTAGCCTGGAGAAAAGGAGGCTGAGGGGAGACCTGATCGCTGCCTACAATTACCAGAAAGGAGGTTGTAGCAAGGTGGGGGTCAGTCTCTTCTCCCAAGTAAAAACTGATAGGATGAGAGAAAATGGCCTCAAGTTGTGCCAGGGGAGGTTTAGATTGGCTATTAGTAAGAATTTCTTCACTGAAAAGGTTGTCAAGCAGTGGAAGGGGGCTGCCCAGGGAGGTGGTGGAGTCACCATCCCTGGAAGCATTTAAAAGGCGTGTAGATGTGGTGCTTAGGGACATGGTTTAGTGGTGGTCTTGGCAGTGTTAGGTTAACAATTGGCCTCAACGATCTTAAAGATTTTTTTCCAACTGAAATGATTCTACTATGATTTTTGGGTAGGTGTGGAAACATATACTTTATATATTTACCTACCTTTTGGGAAGACTTTTTTTTGAGAAAATTCTGTATGGCATCTCTTGGGTGCCATACCTGTTGTTCTTTCTAGTCACTGCAAATCTGAAGAAAAATACTGCTTGTATGTGTCACTGAATTTTCCCAGATAAGTTTTCCTTGTTAGACTTAAAGATGGGTTTCTGCATCCTATTTGGGTACAAAGTCATGTGTTCAGCACTTGCTCAGCACTACTACCTATAGGCTACTAACAGTCCTAAAAAAAGGTGTCATCACTTCAGACAAAATCTATAAAGGTTCAGAGAAATAGTTTCTAGCTACAAGTTTGGAAAAAAAATTTTCAACAAATATATTTTGCTTAAGCTGGTTTTAATTTGAAATACATATTTCAGTCTGCTAATTGGTAGTATAGATTGTGCATATAACTCTCAAGTCACCTTTAGTTCAGAAGGACCTGGACATTGGCTGGTGAGTTGAAATCATAAACACTAGGCCTTAAAATGTTATATTATTATCACAGCAGGTCTACTAAGAAGGCTCCTGTGCAAGGCCTTGTATGGATCAGAGCAATTAGGATGCCAGTTCATCGCTTTCCTAAGCTGAAATAAAGAAACTATTTGTATATTGTGCTTGTGTTAGTGTATTGCCAATGTCTTTGCTACTGAAAGCAAGCAGACTGATTTATTTATTTATTTATTCATTTAAACCAGGTAATGTGTATGTGTAGTTACACCTACTTCACCTCTTAATGAGAGATAAAGTCTGGCTCGAGACTGTTTGCACATTTTGTCATTTGCTAGAGTTCATGAGATCGTTGCTTAGACATCAAATACCAGTTTGTTCACCAGAGCTGCAGTGAATAAAGTGAATGAACTTTTGTGGATTTCCCCCCCCTGCCCCCCGACTCCATGTGATTTTCAGGATAACTTAAATCTGAGGTTATATTTCTCAGAAGAAATTTTCTGAAATAATTGGTGACTACTATAATGCTTTATGGTGTTCTTGCTAGTGTGTTTACAGCAAAGAATATTGCTGTCTGTAAATACGGTGCCTTCCTCTGTTTTTAAAATTTCTTAAAGGTGGGACTCCATGTGTACTCTGTCAGGCACTTCTTTATCTTCTTTTCACTCCCTTTGTCCACACTTAGGAGTACCGTGTGCCCTCTATTGTGCTTTGCTCAGAATAAAGTACCAGAAAGGAATGTTGCATATATCTGCACCCGGTCAAATTACATTGCATATAATTATTCAGTGTTCAAGGCAGACCTCACAGGCTTATCAGGAAGCACACACATTTCCAAATCAGTTTTATCATCCCATAGTTACTGTTGTGTGGTTTTGGTTTTTTTTTTTTTTGTTTGTTTGTTGATCCTGTACGTGATTGATTTCATAAACATCTCTCTTGCAAATAAGAACCTGTATTAGCACTGCTAGGCTTCACGCAGAATGAGGGGCAATACTGTGCAGGACCTGCAGTCCACTGTGAAACATACTTCAGACTATCTTATCTTCTAGTTTTGCTCTGTCTTGATAGTCGTATTTTGTGGACAAATAGGCAAGATCTCTCTAGAAATGACATAAACAGATCAGTTGCTAATTTGTCTCTTTCCTGTTCATAATCAGAGGTGAGCAACTTCAAAGCTCCCAAGCAGAGAATACCTTTTTAAATCTCATACTAGAAAAAGCAAAACTGTGAGTTTGTACAGCCGCGTGCTCAAATGTCATAGTCCACTAGAAAAAACTTCTCTACTGTTCTCAGATGAAGTTGGGTTGGTTTACTCCCTGTTTTGGCATAGCAAGAGCTACGTAGAACAAAGCAAGATGTTACACAGATAAATATCCTGAGTGAGTAGAAGTAGGCAGAAGAGGATCAGAATGAAATCCAAAAGGGGATTTAGAGGAAAAGATGATCTATGGACAGCTAAAGGAAAAAGCTGAGAGTCTGAGAAAAGGAAGGAGGGCTGAAATAGCTCATTCCTCATTCTGAAACTTCAGGCATGGGTGGATTCTCTTATTTAAGCCTAGACACCAGTTTGTATTTTGTACTAGTTGGTGAGAGTGATTCAGTTCATCTGTTCAGAATCTGACAGTGGCAATTGCACTCTTCTATCACTAGGATTCCTGCAGGGGAGTCCAGGCAAACAATTATTTAAAAAACAAGCAAACAAACCCCCCAAAACCCAAGGTAACAGCAGTAAGTGGTAGGAAGTGAAGGTACACTGTTTTTTATTTTGGTTTGGTGGCTTTTTTGTGTGGTTTGGTGTTTTGTTTTGTATTTTTTTTTTTAAAATTGGAATGTATTTTAGAGTGAAGTTGCTGAATCTTCTCCATTGGTTCTAAATACAGCATAGGACTGAAGAATTTTCTGCAGCCAAAGAAGAAAAAAAACCAACAACTTGAAGAACTATTTTATTTAGCAGCCTGATCATTTTAAGTTAGTTTTCTGCTTTCCCACAAGGAAGAAATGCAGAGTTTGAGAAAGTTTTCTCGAAATTTAATAATTAGTTTCAGTTGTATGCATCAGTAAATTAACTTAGATTTCAAGGGCCAGTATGACAGTGACATGCATTTTATTTGGAAATGGTGCGACACAAAAATAGTTTTGCAGGGTAGCATGTTTAGGGCTTCAGTTTCAGACACCTTTCAGAGAGACCTTAGCTTTGCTGAATTTGTTTTCTTAGAGTCCTTTGTGAGTTTCCATTTGATCCATTTTTGAGTATTTTCAGTCATTAGGGTATTGTTAATAAACTGTTGGTTTACTTCGTATAGCTAGCTAGTGAATAATAAGCTTTGTGGTGTTGCCCTACTTTTCAAAACCTATTTACTTATATTTTTTAGTAACAAACTCTAGGGGTTTTGGTGTTTTGTTGTTGTTCTCCATGAAAACAAACATCTTTTTCTCTTTAGAGAATAGGATTAGTAAATATTTTTGCAAGAAAGGCCATGAAGCCATAGGCTTAAGTAATCGGAGAAACTCAAACTGTGTGTAGGTTTTGTTTATTTTTTCTTTCTTTTTTTTTTTTTTTTATTTGCCTGATCCCATCCATCCCTGGGTATCTTTTT